TAATAATTATTATTATTATTATTATTATTAGTAGTAGTAGTAGTAGTAGTATTAGTATTAGTATTAGTATTATTAGTATTATTATTATTATTTTGCTGTTATATTTTATACATTTATTTTTTAGGAAATTATTTATTTCATTACATGCAATACTAATAATAATAACAATAATAATAACAATAACAATAATAAACATTTATTTTATTTTTATTTCATAATGTTAAAAACTATTTATTTAATTATATGTAAAATAATAATAACTAGGGTTGCAAAGGGGTGGACAATTTCCGGTAAATTTCCAGAAACTTTCCAAAAATCCCTGGAATATTCCAAAAAATCCTGGAATGTTTCCGAAATTTACTGGAAATTTTCCACCTTTTTTGCAACCCTAATAATAGCATACATTTATTTGTCGACGCGGGACCAGAAGAGCTGTTTTCTGGTGTTTGTATTTTGTTGGCATCGGTTAAGCGCTTCGGGTGATGTTTGCAACACGTTTTAACGAGACGCACCAGCTGCTCAGTAATTAGTCCTGTATCCGCTGCTGGTGTGAGCTCTGAAGACTCGCTGCTGCCGCCGGAGGGGAACATTAGCGTAAGAACCGTAATACAGAGCAGCCGCTGATGCCATAGGAGACAACCGAGACATCATCCAGAAGAATCACATCTAAGGCTCTTTTGAGTCACGCTTGATTGTTTTTTCTCCTTCTCTCCCTGAAAGCAGCTGTGTAACGATGGCTAGGCCAGGAGCCGTCCTGTCCTGATGAGAAACACCTGGACTCTCAATGAAACCAGCGTCTCAGTGGCTTCGCTTTTCATCTCCAAGCATCTAGCTTTAAGGATCTGCCTGTGGCGAAATCAGTTAATGAAACTGATGGTCATTACAGCCCATAATCACAGCCCAAACACTGTTCAGATGGCGACAGGTCCACGAGCCATTACTACAACGGCTAATGCTTATGAAAGTGAGGAAATCCATTATAATAAACACAATCGGTCAAGAATATGTTAGTTTATCGAAACTCATCTACCATACTAAATTATATATATATATATATATATACATAAAGATCTTTTAAGAAAAATAATTAAGAAAACTATTTAAAACATTTATTTCTTAAATTTCTTAATTCAAGATTTAAAAAAAAAAATATTTTAGTATCATTGAGATACTATTATAGTTTTTATTAATTTTCTGAATTAATCCTGGATTTTTATATTTTCTGTTTTCATTTTAATTTTAGTTACATTTTTAGTACATTTGTTGTGTTTTTCTTTTTTTTTGTTTTCATTTTTATTAGTTTTTTTAAAATATGTCTATTATTTTTTATTACAGTTAACGTTTTAGTTATTTTAGTACTATATTAGTTTTAAGTTAAACTAAATGAAAATGATAAATGCTAATTCCTTGGCAACTAGCTGAAATAAAATAAGTTTAAAGGTTTCTTTTAACTATTTTATTTTATTTCAGTTTATTTTAATTTCAACAAGTTTCTGTATTTTGTTATAGTTTTAGTTAACTACTGTATAATACCTCTGGTTCAAATTGGCTAAATATCAGATTGTTTTTAACGAAAACCAATTATTGATTGATTGATACTGACACTCTCGGATGTTTTATTAAAGGGGTCATATGATGCGATTTCAATTTTTCCTTTCTCTTTGGAGTGTCACAAGCTGTTCGTGAATAGATAAGATCCTTAAAGTTGCAAAGACTAAAGTCTCAAACCCAAAGGCTCGGCTCGTTCTAACACGCCCCCACATATCTACATCACTATGTGGGAAGATTTGCATAACGCCGCCCAAATGTTCACGCAAAGAAAGAAGGTGTAACTTTTATTCTCGCTGTAGTATTGTTGCTGCCGCCATGTCGTGAAGGCGCTGTGTGTTTCGTTGTGAAAGTGAAACTACTTTGTTTGGTCTTCCAAAAGAGGACACGACTAGAAATCAGTGGCTAAGTTGTATTTACAACACTGTTCCAGAACAGTTCAACCCAAATATTCAGATGTGTGCAGCACATTTTATGGAGGACTGGTTCCTGAACTTGCAGAGTAATGTTAGCCTACAATGTGGAAAATAATGTGGTTTTTGAACCTTAAAAACATTTCATTACACCAAATACACAAAATAATGTTCTTTTTAGCAGCATCATATGACCCCTTTAAGCATTAAAGTCAATCACGCTGAACGTCAGTTGAATTGAATTCACCCAACCAGATATTCATTACATTATCGCCACAGAAGGAAAGTCATACATGTTTGAAACAGCATGAAAGTGAGCAAATGATTATGAAATGAACGAGCATGGAGTCAAATCAGACCATCAGATCTGCAAACTTACTGCTTAACAAACAGCTCACATCCCACAAACCTGAAGACTTAGTCAAATAAAAGTTCATTAGTGTAGAGTTTGGGCTGCACTTTACTCAGTCGCGAGCTCTTTCCTGGAGCGAAACGCTGGGCAGCCGCCACAGAAAACACACAGGACTAAATCCAGATCTCTGAAAGCAAACTGAATATTGACTCTTTAAATCAAACTTCTGGAAATAGAGCCTGACGGTGTCGGCTTGTAGGTCGTTTTTGGTTTGAGATGCAAACCGAAAGCTTAAATAGAGCACCGCTGCCGAGCTCACATGATTTAAACGACGAGCTGAACAGGCCACAGAGGCTTTTAATGGCTAATTTCTCGCCAGTTTTTCACATGCTATCAAACAGACACGAGCTCCTCAAAAAAAGAGTGAAAGTCTCTGGGGCTCAAACTTTTTCAGCCTTTCTGGATATGCACAAATAACTCTTCACCCAGACCACAGTAGCCCTCAAAAACTCAAACAAACTGTAATTAATATCATTCATTCTTCCTCTAGAACAGGGTTTTTCAAACGTTTTGATGCCAATGATCCTTAAATATGATCTCCTGCAAAATAAATAAATAAAGCATGTATTTTATGTGTAAAGGTATATATTTCTTTGTGTACAGGCCCATTTATAGCATGTGAGAAAAACAATGCATGAAATTATAAAGACAATATGTTTGCAAAATTATTGCTTAAATTTTAAAAATATATTCACAATAATAATTGCAATATTTTCAGGAGGTTTTATTTCATCATATCTAATACTAATAATAACATACATGTATTTGTTTCTTTTTATTTCATAGTGTTAAAAACCATGGCTGTCAATAGAATAAAACAATCACGATTAATCTCCTTTTATTATTATTATTATTACTGTGCTTTTACATTTTATTAATTTATTTTTTAGGACTTTATGTATTTCTTCATCATATGTAATAATAATAACACATTTATTTGTTTGTTTGTATTTGTATTTTTGATTTAAAAAGTTTTTTATTTAAAAAAATTTAATTAAAAATATTATTTTTTATTTAAAATCTATGACTTATAGAATAAAATAATCATTATTAAAATAATTATGAGTAATCTCATTATTTATTTTATAAATTGTAAAAAAGTATATATAAATATATATATATATATATATTGTTTTTTTTGTTTTTTTGGCAAATAAAAGGTTATCAGTCAATTATTGAATGCCTCATTTTAAATAATGTCCAATGATATTTTCATAGGAGCCTGATAAAAATGTTAATTTGAAAGAAAAATCTCAGACAGACTTAGAGGTTTCTGCAAGTCTTCATTTATATATATATATATATAATCCCGCAGACCCCATAGTTTGAAAACCCCTGCTCTGGAAGACATTCCCTGTACATTTCAATTATGTTCAGCCTTTAATCATGAAGCAGCTTGACAAGATAAGCACATGATCTCAGTTCATACTGGCTCGTTCAGGTTGACACCGGACCCCCGTCGCTGTAAAGCCACATAACACAACAGGGTAGTTTGCTAAATCAGCGTGATTGAGCTCCTCGGCCACCAGACACTCGCAGGCACATGCAGGATTCCCGCTCGGAGGATCGTTCTAATTCAATTCTCCTTTTGTGTTTGATTTTCAAGCAGCACCGTAATCTCATTGGTCACAGTAAGGGGGATCCGGCTGCATGCGGGCCGAACAGGCGACTCATGCTGCATCGGTTTAAGCTTGCGGTCGGGATGTAAACCTTTTATGTGCAAAACGAGCAACAGCATGAATCAAAGCATTCAACTGAAGTCCTACATACTGCAGCAAATCTGAACAAGTTAAGCATTGGTGCTCAGTGCAACAGTCTTGACGGGATGTTTTAAAAAAGGGTGGGGACGCGTCTACAGGATTGATCCTGAATACATTTAGGGCTCAAACCGCACCAGCGTTCATGTCCCATTAAATCCAGCTCTTTGACAGGTAACAGGCAGTGTTGTCTCACCTGGCGTAAATGTTTCCGGGCGGAACGGCCTCCTGGAAGAACTGGAACTGGTAGAGGTAGAGCATGATGAGGTGTCCGGCGCTGAAGATGGCCATCAGGACACACAGACAGCTGAAGAGCAGCGGGTCGAACGTGCGGCAGAAAGACCACCAGGTGCACAGGCCCAGGAAGGTGAAGAAATACACAGTGGAGGTCAGAGAAGGCAACATCATACCTGGAACATGGACACATTGAGAGAAGGCTGAGAAAAGTCATTTCCAGAGCCAATACTAAAGGTGCAGTGGAATTTCGGCACAATTTGTGTGCAAAAGATCTTTCTCCCTTATTCAAAATTCCCAATTATGTGGATTCCTATTGAAATTACTAGATTTTTTTGCGCTGAAAGGAAGAGTTTACCCAAAAATGAAAATTTGCTGAACACTTTTACATCAGTGTCTCAGCAATGGATGCTCTGCAGTGAATGGGTGCCGTCAGAATGAGAGTCCAAACAGCTGATAAAAATATCACAATAATCCACAAGTAATCCACACCACTCCAGTCCATCAGTTAACATCTGGAGAAGACAAAAGCTAACACAAATCCAGCATTAAGACGTTTTTAACTAAAATACGAGTCCATAATCAATAATATTGCTTCCTCCAGTGAAAAAGTGCATCTGCTGTCGTCTCTCTCATCAAAATCCAGCAACATATTTGTTTAGAGCTGTTTAAACGCTGCTTTACTTGTGGATTATTGTGATGTTTTTATCAGCTGTTTGGACTCTCATTCTGACGGCACCCATTCACTGCAGAGCATCCATTGCTGAGACACTGATGCAATGCTACATTTCTACAAACCTGATGAAGAAACAAACTCATCCTGATCTCGGATGACCTGAGGGTGAGTAAACACTTGGGTAAACTATTCCTTTAATGGTGTGTAATGTTTTATTTCTTTTTGTTTGATCTTTGGGATATAACAACGCACTTGAGCTTGTATTCATCTTCAGTTTATAAATGAATGCTGATTATTGATCCTATACCGTGAGCGATGTCTGTCTCAACACTACCTACCTGTGAGGCCCAATAATATGGTTACGACTACTTTTCCTGCAGTGGTAATCAGATTGCCAACGATTTCTTTGAGTTTGGACGCCACGTCTGCTATTTGCCGCAGGATCTTCATTTTGGTGCTTTCTTCGACGTCGGCCTCCTCAAGTTCTCCATCCTCTACATCCACTTCCTCTTCCTCAGGAAGTTCACAGTCTTCATCTCCCAGCTCGAAGTCTTCAAACAGCAGCTCATCCTCAAGCTCCAGTTTCTCACTTTTCTTGTCTTCTTCCTCATCCTCTTTTTCCTGAAAACATGACGAAGGATGTTTACTATGAATCATAAAATAGATACAAGAAGTGCAAGATTCGATTTTTTTCTTTATAACTACCAATCCAATGGTTATGGGTAGACAGATAGATGTAACCTACAGAAACACCACTTTTCTGAAGCATTTAAGTCTGGTTGCATAAAATGCAAAATCAAATAAATGCTGTTCTTTTGAACTTTCTGTTCATCTGTGAATCCTGAAAAATAAAATGCATCACAGTTTCCACAGAAATATTGTGCAGCACAACTGTTTTCAACATTGATAATAATCAGAAATGTTTCTTGAGCAAATCAGCATATTAGAATGATTTCTGAAGATCATGTGACACTGAAGACTGGAGTAATGATGCTGAAAATACAGCTGCGCATCACAGAAATAAATTACAGTTTAACAGAGATTCACATAGAAAACAGATATTCTAAATTAGAATAATATTTCACAATATTGTTGTTTTTACTGTATTTTTGATCACATAAATGCAACCTTGATGAGCAGAAGAGACTTATTAAAAAAATAATAATTCCATATTACTGACCCCAAACTTTCGAGTGGTCCTATATATTATTCACAGAAGATTTGGCATTTCTGAAATGCTTTGATTGGTCAGAAATGTCCAAGTGCCACATTATTGAGATATTGTTGTACCTGTCTGTGTTATGAAGCAGACCGCTGATTAAAATTCCCAGGAGTACTTACATGTTCACTGTTATCTCTCTGGTGTCATATTACATCACTTTCATAACTTTACCATTGTAGTAGGCACAAGGAAAAGAAAACACGAAAAACAAAAAACTTATGCATTCTACCACAGAAAGATACATCAAACTTCACTAAAAGTTTGATCAAATCCTGTCGAGTCTGTCTACAATCTTTAAAGTGTTTTTTAAGTGTTTATCAAAGGAAATATGAAGGAAAAGGTCTTTATTATTCCTTGGCAGCAAAGACAAACTAGACTTTTCAGAAGAAAACATGAGTGGTTTTTGCCTGTGAAAACTACAAGTTGTTGTGGGTTACAGGAAGAACATTTTAAGTATGATTGCTTAGAAAAGTAACAATTACAAGCCTCTTAAATAAATAAATACATAAATAAATTCTGACTTGGCAAATATCACAGTCAAATTTATTAGAATGTTCAAAACAATCCTTCTTTCTGTTTGATCTGTTGTAAGATGAATCTGGTCTCTCTGATGAAGACCAGAGGAGTTAAAGTGAGTCTCCGGTTCTCCCCGGCACAGATTTAATCAAATTCAAACCCATAACTCAACAAAACTCAATTCTTACCGTCAGAATAGACTTCAGTTTCAAAGACAACATCCGTCAGGTTCAGATAAACATTTTTTGGGTCGGTGAGTGATACTCAAAACCAGAAATTCAATGGAGACTTATTTTGGAATATTAAACCTGACCCAATTCTTTGGGGAAGGTGAGGATTGGTGAAAGATTGGCAGACCAAATGATGCCACATGAAAGATCCGCTCACAGAAAAAACACAGTTCTTCAAGACAGATTTGTGAAGGATTAACAAAACTTTACATTATATAAAGTTGGCTGCATGTGAGGAATTGAGTCTGAAAGTTAGTAGTGTTTCGGACGTTGTCTGGAGGTCAGTGTTAATTTTGACAGCATATTTTGATTTAGTTTTAGTTATAGTCTTTTGACTAAAATGGCATTTAGTTTTAGTCATCTGAATTGTTTTTAGTTGTAGTCTAGTTTTAGTCGACTAAATATCATAAGATTTTAGTCGACTAAATTACAGTAAATTTAGTCAGCTAAAATCTAATGGGTTTAGTTACAGTGTAATGCATTTATTAAGCATTTCTCAAAAATTTCCAAATTCATTATATAGGTTTGATATTAAGGTTTTATCATGATATACACTGATTTAACTGTTGTGACACACAACATGCCTTTATGTTAAAATTAAATAAAACCACTTCTCATAAAGAACAAGAACATGGTCTACTTTTTAATGAAATACCAATGGTTATATAGGCTAATTATGCATTCTTTATAGCAACTTGTTTACCATATTCTTCATTCTTTCAAGCAGACATATTTATTTCTATAAATACATTTAGATTAATCTTTAAGGCTACTAAAGCTTTTCAGTCAAGAGCAGTGCATGATTTTCGGTCTTTCTTTTGTTGCTTGATTAACATCAATGACTCGGACAAGAGCAACTCAATTAGGCTGCTGTCCCTTTAAAACCGAATGCTCAGCTGCAATGGATGCAATGTACTGATACACGTTCTTCCTTCTGTTTACGTTCACTTAAGACGTAATCAACTGTGTTTACATGAATACTCGTCAAAATTCTGAATGAATCTCATCCCAAATCGTCCCTCCCTAACATTTTCGTCTCATTTTTATTCGTTGACAAAAATGTCAATAGATTTACGTCATAGTTTTTGTCATTCAAAAAGAGTTTTAGTTTTAGTTATCGTCGGTGAAAAAAATGTAGTTGACGACAATTATGACGAAAATTATTCGTCAACGAAATTAACACTGCTGGAGGTTCAGCGATCAAATCAAAAAGAGGCTTGTTGACGTCAGCGCAGCTAACAGAAATATGTTCTAAGAACGTTTTGATAACATTTCTGAGTGTTCGCTGAACCGTTTCTTGGTCATGTGGACCAAGACATTCCATTTTCTCATTTTGCAAACATTATGGGGAAAGTTAGTTTTGAATATTCTCTGAACCATCTGAAACTAGAAAGTATTAATGTTTTAAAAAACGCAGACAAGCATCCAACTAAAATGTTTCCGAAAAACGTTCTATGAATGATGTATACATAATGTTGTGCTAACGTTTCTGAAAGACCAGATAACTCTCTAACATTAACATTCTATTAACGTTACTAGAAGAACGTTTGTTTGCGTTAGCTGAAGTTCTGAGAACGCTCCTGTTAGCTGGGTCTTTGCTAGCTTCTCTAAACGCTAGGCCGCTCTCTGTGCTACCCAGATTGAAATAATACAAGCCCCGCTGAGCTAAATCAGCTGTTTATTTGAACGAGCCTCGCTTCGCTGTGAAAACAACAAAATCGACAGCGTTTCCCTCGACTATATTTACCGTATTACCACAGTGAATGAGTACTCTGTGCACTTCCATTAAAGAGCTCATCTTAATGGGGAAAACCACACAAAAACAGCCTTCTGGTAGAACTTCAGAAAACCATGTGACTTTAATATCTCTAGCTGATCATCCTAACTGTTAGAAGAAGTCACTCTTGATGAGAAGATGAGGCTTTGTAAAAGGGTTTGTGTTTGGACTCGTATTTTAGCTGGAAGCAACTGTTTGTTAAAACACATTAATGATGGATTTGTTTCTTAGAAACACAGCTTTTGTCTTCACAAGACATGGACTGGAGTGGGGTGGATTATTGTGATGTTTTTATCAGCTGTTTGAACTCTCAATCTGACGGCACCCATTCACTGCAGTGCATCCATTTTTGGGTGATCTCGCTCGCGCGCACACACACACACACACCCCGCTCTCTCTCTCTCTCGCTCTCTCTCTCGCTCACGCGCGCGCTGTTCTGTTGTAAGTGATCTTAAAGATTCCTAAATGCATCTACTTTCGGAAGGCCAAATAAAGTGCTTTCGCCTAGAAACACACAGCGTCTCCCTGACATGCTGCTTCAACACTAACTGCGGTTACTGAAACCACGCCTTCTTTCTTTGCGTGCACATTTGGGCGGCATTATGCTAATATTTCCACATAGTGAGGTAGATATGTGGGGGCGTGTTAGAACGAGCCGTTTTAGGGGGGCGTGGCAGAGTCTTAACTTTGATAAAGAATATCTCTTTGGTTTTGAGACTTTAGTCTTTGCAACTTCAGGGATCTTATCTATGCACAATCAGCTTGTAACACTCCAAAGAGAAAGGAAAAATTGAAATCGCATCATATGACCCCTTTAAGATAATTCTGTCAAATATTTCTCGTATTTTTGTCATATATTGGCAGGTAAGCCAAAATAGTTGGTGAAAGACACAAACCATCCCAGAAAAACTAGACGGAAACACTGCATTTCATTCAGAGGAGTGTATTTCAGAAATTCTTGGCACTTGCATCAAGCAATAGTGATTAACTAAGGAACACATGGAAGTAATGGAGATTCCCGACGTGAAAGGTGATCGTTTGTGCTGTCCATGGTGCTGAAATCAATAATGGAAATCGATGTGATTTGTTTTAATTTATATCTAATGAATTAATGATTTAAATGAGTAATTAAAATAGATTAGCCAGGCCAATTTATTTAACATTATTTCGCTATCTTGAGATTATTCACACTAACTGTGGTAGTTTGTCAATTTCAACCAACAAATTCAAATGCTTTCAAATTTCATATTTTACATTTCGTTTTCTCCATAAACGGCCTCAAACCATGACAGCACAGTTTGTTGAGTATTTGTTTTATTTGCTTTGTTTTTGTTTCTGTGGTAGCCCCGCCCACTGCGAAACCTCATTGGTCACAATTCACACTCATAACTGTATATGAAAACTCTTTTGATTGGCTCTGAAAGTCTCCCACTGCAGTGTGGACAAACAGCTGATTACTTTATGAATTGACAGCCTGTTCGCGAATCTTCAAAATGTTTACCATTAAACATTCATCGTAGTGAGATATATTTGGAGTTCACAACAAAATAAATACCATTTTAAAAGAGAAATCACAGGGTATTTGCGACAGGTAGGGTTCAGTTTCAGTCAGGGTTACTATAGTTAACTGAAACTAAAACTATAACCATAAATAATAATAATAATAATTTACTTCAAATAAAATTATATATATATATATATATATATATAACATTTGATTTAATCTAGTTGCCAAGACAGTATTTCTCATTTTAATTTAGTTTAATTTAATGTAATACATAACTAAAAACTGATATAAAAATGAATAAAAACTAAAAATGACAAACACACACACACAATTACTCAAACTTAAATGGAATTACTAAAACTGAAAATA